GGGAAATGTGGACTGACGGTAGGGCCTGTGTCTTCTTCTATCATCATATTTCTACTGCCTCATATTGCACCCAGCATACAGCCACGTGACTGAATCAGCAAAAGAACACACGAGGAAGAGAACAGAACGAAGACTCCAATGTCCATGACACAAAAGATGCGGGTATGAATTCTACACGAATACTTCCCCAACTAACAAGACACTGTACAATGGGAAAAACATACAACATGAGTGTTCTCCACGAGTAGAGACCTGGAACTGCCACTCAGAGTGAAACTGTGAATAAGCACTATCTAACTTAACCTAGGAGAGAAGAGCCACATGGCATTCAAAACAAATTAATTTCCTCAGGGAAAAAGTGAGACAGGCAAAAATAAACAGGCTTCCTCAAGGCAAAGACAAGGAGGGATGTGGAGAGCTGTTCGCTGGCAGTTTCCACAGGACGCAGGACTGACTGATGGAGTGGCCCGAAAAGCAAAATGACTGAAACGCAGACAGGGTGAGCCCGTAATAATATTCAATGCCCCTCTTTTCTCACTAAGCTTTGAATTTATTCCCTTAAGTGATCCCTTCTCTCAATTTATGATCTTGCCCTTCAGTCAGTAAGTCAGCAAAACCGATGCAGTGACTCACTGGATCCCCAGCCCAAAGCCTGAAAATAAGCTTCTCTGGAAAGGTCTGGTAGGAGAGAAGGAAAAAAATTTGACAAATCCCCTCTGGGAATTTATTCATTTAGAGAGAAGCAGGGAATGGATTTCTGGTAAGAGAGCTGACCTGAGGGCTGCTAGACTAGGCTTCCTCCAGGGGCCGATGAAAATGTAACTTTACGTAAAGTTGAGTGGAAGGCCACTGCTTTGTACTAAGAAATAAGGCATAGAAAAGAAAAACTGAAATGGGAAGCTTGTAAACCGAAGGATGGAGACAATCTCCTTTTAAGATAAGCTGTGCTGTCTTCTGAACCACATACAAGGCACAGCTGTCAAATACAACAGCAAAGTCTTGGTGAAGAAACTAGTCTCTCTACTCTGTAGTCACCAGGGAAAATAACAGGCACAGGGACCAGAAAGCTCCCAAGTTCATGATGTGAGCGCCAACAGAGCGGATGTGAGATGAATCTGGAACTGGCAGCAGCAGCAGCGCCTCAAAGGCATATCTTCAGCTCTTCTAGATCCTTCCAGTCAACAGACTTGCTCACGCCTTTCATTTGAGCAGCTCACTCCATACCACTACCTTCAGGCAGTAAGAGCCATCATTCTGATTTCCCACTGAGAGAAACTCAACAACTGTGCAAATGGGAACTGCCCACTCCAACATCCTGTCTCTAATTTTCTGACCCTGCCCTTCCTAACTCCCTCATTCTAGTAAGCACCCAAAAGAGAACCAGAAACAAGAAACAATTATTTTTTTTTGTACTTGGCGGAAGGCATAATTTTTAAGATACACTATATTTTGTATCTTAAAGTCAATTACTCTAGTAGGTGAGGTTCTCTTAATTGTCTGACTTGGAAGCAGTTCACTGATGCACATTAAGCAAGTACTGCTTTTAGGTACCAATTAGTCTGTTTAGATGCTTGAATCTTTAACGTGAATTAATAATGTGCTGAACCAGAAATTCAGGAGTCTGAGTTCTGAGCAGGGAAATACACGGAATCAAATAAACAAAATTAGAATACGTTCAGGTATTTAGGATTCTCTCAGAAATCAGATCTGTAGTCTGTATAACACATAAAATCTACTGGGGGGGGTAGGGTGGGATGGGGTGGATTTGGAGTTATAAACATTGGAACATTATGTAATGGGAAATAATATGTGTTGTTATATACAAAACACTTCCACTTACACACACACCCAAGGGAAAATAAAATGCTTCAAAGGAAGTTTGCCAGAGGCCTGGTATTAACCCTAAGCAGCTTGGAACAGCTGGCCAGAAAGGCCTAGGACAGAACCCAGCCCAGAGCTCAGCAGATTTTACCTGCCCTTCTCTCTTCTTAGTAATAAAGAAAAACTTTATATATATGTGTTTAACACATTTTCATTTTTATTCAAGATGCTTGCTTTCCTACAGCCTGCTATCTCTTGGGTTCAGATCAATTACATTTGCAGACCTGGGAATTTTCTTCAGTGCTGTAATACTCTATATCACTCTCCCTTGAGACAATGGTCAGTACCAACTCAGCAGAACCAGGGGCCAGGAAGCTTTTGGTAAGGCAAGAACAGGATCATGCCAATTTACAAAGATAAATTTCTAGCATAGTGATACCCCCATCTGACAACACACAGCCCTCTAGCCAGGTTTACACCATTACTTACTCATTTCCTCTTACCTGCCTGATACTCTAAAATGAGGTGGAACTCATCCACTTCCTGCAGTGACTCTGGTGGAACAAATACATTGTCATCAAGAAGTTCATGCAGCTTTGGACCAACCGGACCACAAAGAAGAACCTGGAGACAAGCAATACGAAGTCTATCAGGAGATCTGCCCCTTGTCCCATGGACTCTGTTCAGTAAGGTACATGCAGCACTTCTATTCATTTCAACAAAACACTGGATTCCAAAAGCAATTTTGAAAGCTTTTGGTTTGGCGGTACGGACTAGAGGGGCTACTACCAGGGCCTGGGGGGTATAGACACAACATACCCAGAAATGAGAGGCTGACAAAAGACCCACGTCACACATGTTACACAGGTACCTAGGCTGCTGCTGAATCCCATGCACCCTGTTAGGGACTGAATGTTTGTGGCCTCCCCACCCCCACCCCAAGTTCCCATGTCGAAGTCTAATGGCCAATGTGATGATATCTGGATAGGGTCTTCAGGAGGTAAATGAGGTCATATGGGTGGGTTCCTAATTCAACAGGATTGGTGGCCTTATAAGAAAAGAGAGAGAGAGAGAGAGAGATCTCTATTCACCACACCTGTTAAAGAAAGGCCATGTGAGGACACAAAAGTAGGTGTCTACAAGCCAGAAAAAGAGCTCTCATCAGAAACCAAACCCTGCTGGAACTGTGATCTTGGGTTTTCCAGCCTCCAGAACTGTGAGAAAATAAATTTCTGTTGTTTAAGCAACCTGGTCTATGGCATTTTGCCATCAGGGCAGCCTGAGCAGACTAAAACACACTGTACCTCACTTTCTCTCTTTTCTTAACTGACTCACATTCTGTGTAGGCAAACAGATACAGGATGTTGTCTGCTCAAAACTGCCAGATGAAAACCACTGTTTGAATTCACACAGTATAGAAAAGAACCACAATAATCAACCAGGGGACCTAACTTGTGGGATCAGGCTCCCTACTATACTTAGTTGCTTTGTGAACAAGATAGCCTTCCAAATAGAAGAATTAAAGAGCACCTCGATTCACAAAGTATGGGGGGAGGTGCTCTGCAACTTTTAAAAAACCTTTCTTCAACTCCAACCTGGGCCTCTTCCTGGCTTTTCCTTCTAGAAGCCATTTCACACCTGCTGCTGTTTCTGCCATGCCGGCTCTGGCCCCACTCATGACCAGGTTAACAGACTCAAAGCCCCTGAACCATGAGGGCCCGGACCAGGATTCGAAGGAAAGTCCTCAAAGATGATTGTAACCATTTCAGATTTGATATGTCCCATCCAGAAGCTTCCAAAAGCATTTTTACTTGCTAATTAACTGCTTGTTTGTACAGAGGCGTTTTCATGCATCTAAGAAATCCCAGCTTCTGGGTGAAAATACACTTCCCTCTCGACACATGCTCGCTATCTGCCAATTCTGAAAAGTCTTGCCCCTATAATTTTGTTTCTTTTTTCTAATTCTTGGCTAGAACTTCAGCTTCCAAGATGAGATAACAAGGGCCAGATTTACCCTCCTGCCTGAAACAACAACAAAAACAGATAAAATTTATGAAATAATGGTTTTCAAAACATTTGGGCACTGGGCAACAAAGGACAGTGATCCCTAAGAAACAGAAAAAAACTGAGTAAGCCCTACAGACCTTGCTGCAATTTAGCCTAAAAGAGTTTCCAGATATACAAAATCTGAAAGAATTAATCACCAGCAGATCTGCACTACAGGAAATAGGAAATCCTTTAGGCAGAAGGAAAATGATACCAGATGGAAATATTGATCTAAACAAAGGAATGAAGAACGCCAGGAATGGTAACTCTGGATAAGTATATAAGATCTTTTTCTTACTGTTTAAATGTCTTTAAAAGATAATTAACTGTTTGAAGAAAAATATTAACAGCATAGTATGAGATTTATAGCCTATCTAGAAGTAAAGTATATGCCAATAATAGTATAAAGACTGGAGGGGAGAAATGGAAGTACACTATTTTAAAGTTCTTACATTCTATCTGGTGGTTTAATAATATCACTTGAAAGCAGACTGTGATAAGCTAAAAATGTACATTATAAACCCTAAGGCAACCACTAAAGAAAACAAGTAGCAAGGTGTCAGATTTAAACCTATCTGATACAGCAATAATCATATTAAATGTAAATGGTCTAAACTCCCCCAAATAAAAGACAGAGAATGTCCAAGTGTATTAAAAAGCAAGCCCCAACTATATATTGCCTACAAGAAACACATTTTAAATATAAAGACACAAATAGGTTAAAAGCAGAAGGATGGAAAAAGATATATCATAACACGATTCAAAGCTGGAATGGCTATTTTAATCAAAATAGATTACACAGCCAAGAATATTATGAAATTATTTTCTTTATCCCTGGTAATGATAAAAGGGTCAATTCATGGAGGGAGGTAACAGTTCTAAAGAGTTATACATCTAATAACAGCTTAAAAATACATGAAGCAAAAAGTTATAGAACTGCAAGGGAAACAGACAAGTCTGTAAGTATAGCTGAAGATGTCAATACCCCTCTCTCAATAGTATTAGATAAATCAAGTGGACTGAAAATCATTAAGAATATAGAAGACTTGAACAACATTATCAACCAACTTGGCCTAACTGACATTTATATATAGAACACTCCACTCCAAAACAGAAAAATATGTACTTTTCAAGTGTACATTGAACTTCACCAAGATAAGACTATATTCTGGGTCATAAAAAAGTCTCAATAAATTTAATAGGAATCAGAGAAGCATATTCTCTGATCACAATGGAATTAAAATAGAAATCAATAACAGAAAGATATCTGGAAACCCTCCCAATATTTAGAAACTAAATAACACACTTCTAAGTAGTACATAGATGGGCCATTAAATACCTCATCTCAAGAAATCAAAGGGAAATCAGAAAGCATTTGAACTGAATGAAAATAAAAACAAAAAGTATCAAAATCTGTGGGATACAGCTAAAACAGTACTTAAGGGGAAGTTTACAGCACTAAACACCCTGTACCAGAAAACAAAGGTCTCAAATCCGTGACTTCAGCTACTACCTTAATAAACCAGAAAGTTAAATTCAAAGCAAACAGAAACCAATGAAATAGAAAAGAGAAAAATACAGGAAAAAAAAATCAGTAGAACTGAAAGTTCACTGTTTATTGAAAAGATCAAAATTGACAAACCTATAGCCAAACTTATCAAGGAAAAGAAAAAAAGAAAAAGACATAAATTACCAGTATCAGGAAAGAGAGAGAGAACATCACTACAGATTCTACAGACCTTAAAGGAATAAGGGAACATTATGACTAACTTTATGCCAATAAATTCAATAACTTAGATGAAATGGACAAATTTCTTGAAAGGTAAAACTACCAAAGCTCACTCAAGAAATAAAAAATCGGAATTTCTCTTTAGCTATTAAATCGAAATTGTTAAAAACCTTCCCGTATCAAAAACTTCAGGCCTAGAGGGCTTCACTGGTGAACTCTACAAACATGTAAGGAGGATGTGATACCAATTCTACACAAACACTTTTTTAAAAAAATTGAAATACTTCCCGATTCATTCTATAAGGTCAGTATTACTCTGATACTAAAACCAGACAGATATACAAGAAAAGAAAAATACAGACCAATATCCCTCAGGGAAATTGATATAAAAATTTTAAACAAAATTTTAGTAAATTGAATCCAATGATATATAAAAAGGATAATACATAAGAAGCAAGTGAGGTTTACCCTGGGGATACATGGTTGGTTTAACATTTGAAAATCAATGTAATAACCATATACCAAAGTTAAAAAACAAAAACCACAGCAGCATTTGACAAGATCCAACATCTACTTCTAATTCTTGGCTAAATTCCAAAATATATTCTGTAAAGACACTGCTCTCTTCTGCAATCTGGCTTCTATTTCACCATTCCACTGAATTTACCTTTACTATATTCACCAGGGTCTATTTCTGAGACAACATAGCTTGGCTGTAAAGAGCATGGACGCTGGAGCTAGAGTACTTGGGTTCAAATCCCAGCTCTACTCCTTCCTAGGTATGTGACCTTGAACAGTTTTAACTTCTCCATGCCTCATTTTTACTGTCTACAAAATGGGGATAATAATAGACTTCCCTTATGGGGCACTGTGAGGATCAAATGAGTTAAGATAATGTAAAGCACTTAAGACAGTGCCTGGCATACAGTAAGAACTATGAAAGTGTTAATGATTATTATTGCCTTTGGAAAATACCTAATCCTTAATCTGCGGTCGTTCTCAGATGATCACTTGGTCCATGTCGAGAAGCATTTCATCTAGTTAAATTGAATCTCTCTGAGAGAGCAGTATAAGGTGGTGAGGTCAGAAGCAGAGCCTAGTGTTTGAATCCTGGCTCCACCATTTACTATCTAGGTGACCCTATGCACATTACTTAATCTCTTACATTACTTAACCTCTCTGGATCTCCTGTCTTTAAAACGGTGATAATACCTTAACTTCATCAGATTGTTGTGAGGACTCAGTAACAGATATCCCTTTTCTTTCCTAAATCTTATACCAAGGCCAGACTTTTTTTTTTCTTTTTTTAAAAATCAGAATGCTTTCCAGTTGGACTGGTCTCAGGTCCAGCTTCTCCAGAGACCAACAGCAAATACTGGTCCCAGACGAGGGCAATATTGAAAGGTCAATCTAACCCAGGACTTCCAGGGCCAGAATTACTTCTCAGGGTCAAGAGAGCGGCCTTTTATGGACCGATTTAAATGCCCAGGATTCTGATGGGAAGGGCCTGGGTTCTCTCTAATTAGTTTATGACTGATCTTTCCTTCTCTTCCATCCATTAGCTGGTAATACTTCTGAAGGTCAGCCCTGTAATTTCTAATATTCTCTGTTTGGGAGTTAATTACTATCTATAAAGATAATGACTATTTAAAAAAAAAATTTCCCACACCCTAATTTTTTTTTTTTTAACATCTTTATTGGGGTATAATTGCTTTACAATGGTGTGTTAGTTTCTGCTTTACAACAGAGTGAGTCAGTTATACATATATATATGTTCCCATATCTCTTCCCTCTTTGTCTCCCTCCCTCCCACCCTCCCTATCCCACCCCTCCAGACAGCCACAAAGAACCGAGCCGGTTTCCCTGTGCCATGCGGCTGCTTCCCACTGGCTATCTACCTTACGTTTGTTAGTATATATATGTCCATGTCTCTCTCTCGCCCTAACACACCTCACCCTTCCCCCTCCCCATATCCTCAAGTCTGTTCTCCAGTAGGTCTCTGTCTTTATTCCTGTTTTACCCCTAGGTTCTTCATAACATTTTTTTTTTCTTAAATTCCATATATATGTGTTAGCATACGGTATTTGTCCTTCTCTTTCTGACTTACTTCACTCTGTATGACAGACTCTAGATCTATCCACCTCATTACAAATAGCTCAATTTCGTTTCTTTTTATGGCTGAGTAATATTCCATTGTATATATGTGCCACATCTTCTTTATCCATTCATCCGACGACGGGCACTTAGGTTGTTTCCATCTCCGGGCTATTGTAAATAGAGCTGCAATGAACATTTTGGTACATGACTCTTTCTGAATTCTGGTTTCCTCAGGGTATATACCTAGTAGTGGGATTGCTGGGTCATATGGTAGTTCTATTTGTAGTTTTTTAAGGAACCTCCATACTGTTCTCCATAGTGGCTGAACCAATTCACATTCCCACCAGCAGTGCAAGAGTGTTCCCTTTTCTCCACACCCTCTCCAGCATTTATTGTTTCTAGATTTTTTGATGATGGCCATTCTGACTGGTGTGAGATGATATCTCATTGTAGTTTTGATTTGCATTTCTCTAATGATTAATGATGTTGAGCATTCTTTCATGTGTTTGTTGGCAGTCTGTATATCTTCTTTGGAGAAATGTCTATTTAGGTCTTCTGCCCATTTTTGGATTGGGTTGTTTATTTTTTTGTTATTGAGCTGCATGAGCTGCCTGTAAATTTTAGAGATTAATCCTTTGTCAGTTGATTCATTTGCAAATATTTTCTCCCATTCTGAGGGCTGTCTTTTGGTCTTGTTTATGGTTTCCTTTGCTGTGCAAAAGCTTTGAAGTTTCATTAGGTCCCATTTGTTTATTTTTGTTTTTATCTCCATTACTCTAGGAGATGGGTCAAGAAGGATCTTGCTGTGATTTATGTCATAGAGTGTTCTGCCTATGTTTTCCTCTAAGAGTTTGATAGTTTCTGGCCTTACATTTAGGTCTTTAATCCATTTTGAGCTTATTTTTGTGTATGGTGTTAGGGAGTGATCTAATCTCATACTTTTACATGTACCTGTCCAGTTTTCCCAGCACCACTTATTGAAGGGGCTGTCCTTTCTCCACTGTATATTCCTGCCACCTTTATCAAAGATAAGGTGACCATATGTGCATGGGTTTATCTCTGGGCTTTCTATCCTATTCCATTGATCTATCTTTCTGTTTTTGTGCCAGTACCATACTGTCTTGATTACTGTAGCTTTGTAGTATAGTCTGAAGTCAGGCAGCCTGATTCCTCCAGCTCCATTTTTTGTTCTCAAGATTGCTTTGGCTATTCGGGGTCTTTTGTGTTTCCATACAAATTGTGAAATTTTTTGTTCTAGTTCTGTGAAAAATGCCAGTGGTAGTTTGATAGGGATTGCATTGAATCTATAGATTGCTTTGGGAAGTAGAGTCATTTTCACAATGTTGATTCTTCCAATCCAAGAACATGGTATATCTCTCCATCTGTTTGTATCATCTTTAATTTCTTTCATCAGTGTCTTATAATTTTCTGCATACAGGTCTTTTGTCTCCTTAGGTAGGTTTATTCCTAGATATTTTATTCTTTTTGTTGCAATGGTAAATGGGAGTGTTTTCTTGATTTCACTTTCAGATTTTTCATCGTTAGTATATAGGAATGCCAGAGATTTCTGTGCATTAATTTTGTATCCTGCTACTTTACCAAATTCATTGATTAGCTCTAGTAGTTTTCTGGTAGCATCTTTAGGATTCTCTATGTATAGTATCATGTCATCTGCAAACAGTGACAGCTTTACTTCTTCTTTTCCGATTTGGATTCCTTTTATTTCCTTTTCTTCTCTGATTGCTGTGGCTAAAACTTCCAAAACTATGTTGAATAAGAGTGGTGAGAGTGGGCAACCTTGTCTTGTTCCTGACCTTAGTGGAAATGCTTTCAGTTTTTCGCCATTGAGGATGATGTTGGCTGTGGGCTTGTCATATACGGCCTTTATTATATTGAGGAAAGTTCCCTCTACACCTACTTTCTGCAGGGTTTTTATCATAAATGGGTGTTGAATTTTGTCAAAAGCTTTCTCTGCATCTATTGAGATGATCATATGGTTTTTCTCCTTCAATTTGTTAATATGGTTAATCACACTGATAGATTTGCGTATACTGAAGAATCCTTGCATTCCTGGAATAAACCCCACTTGATCATGGTGCATGATCCTTTTAATGCCACACCCTAATATTTTATGAAAACTTTAATTCTTATTACAATGTGAATGTTCACACTTTAATATGCTCTCCACATCTAAGCACATCCATCCCTCGGTGTACAGTGTGGCTCCGTATGAATTTTTTCCCCTCAAACTGTTGAACATTTATCTGAATTTTGGGGTCCATCTCTGGGCTTCTGATTCTGTGCCCCTGAGAACTGTCTATGGTTTCCTTTCTCTGTCGTCAGTAGCCACATCTATTCTGCACTTCTCAAGTTCACTTACTCTAGAATCATCTTTGTTAAACCTATCTTCTTTGTCCCCATGTATGGTCTAGCACCAAGTGATTCCATTTTAGTAGGCTTTAGATAGGCTTCTCCTCTTCTGGCTACCATATCCAAACCTCAATCATTTTATAGCAAGACAACAGCAATAACCTCCTTGCTGTCTTTCCCCTTCAGACCTATTCCACTTGTAGCAAAAGAGCTTCTTACTCAGATGTTATTTTGAACATAGCAGTAATTTTTAATTCTACTTAAACCAAATGGCTTAAGACTTGAAGACATGTCCCCATCTAGTGGCGTTCATTTTTCAACCCTCTGGATCCAGGCTCACAGAATAGCCAATAAGTCTTCTCTCATCACTGTACAATTCCAAGCCTCAGGCACTGACTCCAGAGCCCATGTGCTCTTAACCATTACATGATAAGGTACTTAAGAACATGGACTCTGGGGTCCTAGGTTAGAACTGTTCTATTTCTTTTCTTTCTTTCGTTGTTTTTTTTTTTTTTGCGGTACACGGGTCTCTCACTGTCGTGGCCTCTCCCGTTGTGGAGCACAGGCTCCGGACGTGCAGGCCCAGCAGCCATGGCTCACGGACCCAGCCACTCCGTGGCATGTGGGATCCTCCCGGACTGGGGCACGAACCCATGTCCCCTGCATCGGCAGGCGGACTCTCAACCACTGCGCCACCAGGGAAGCCCTCTTTCTTTTTAAAAAAAATTAATTAATTTATTTATTTTTGGCTGCGTTGGGTCTCTGTTGCTGCGCAGGGGCTTTCTCTAGTTGTGGCGAGCGGGGGCTACTCTTCTTTGCGGTGCGCGGGCTTCTCACCGTGGTGGCTTCTCTTGTTGCAGAGCACAGGCTCTAGGAGTGTGGGCTTCACTAGTTGTGGTGCATGGGCTCAGTAGTTGTGGCGCACGGGCTTAGCTGTTTCGTGGCATGTGGGATCTTCCCGGACCAGGAATTGAACCCGTGTCCCCTGCACTGGCAGGCAGATTCTTAACCACTGTGCCACCAGGGAAGTCCCTGTTCTATTTCTTATTAGCTATGAACTTCCCTATGCCTCAAGCTTCATGTGGAAAGCAAGACAACAGCTGTACCAGCACGAGTACCAACTAGCCTTACAGTTGTTGCAGGGATTAAATGAGGTAATCCACATCAAACACTGGAAACAACGTCGGGCACAAAGTAAGCACTCACAAAGCATTAGCTACCACTCCTCTCCTTCCACTACTATATTCCTAACAAGAGCCCTAGGGTCTGGCACAAGCTGAATCAAGGAACAGACAGATACTCATTCTTACTCCTAAAATTACTTAAACACTAGTGAAGGACACAGGTTTTAATCTGGGAATTTGACTTACCTTTAAATCTGAGTTGGCTGCAAATTTCTGTCCAATTAAAGCTGCATTTCCTCCTACATAGTGCTATAAGACAGTTTAAGGTTATTAGACAGTATTTTAGCATTAACTATGTTACTCAAGCTTAATAATGTTTTGATTTATTGAATTAATTTACAGTCCATTTTTTTCCCAAAAAAATTTGCGGTGACTTCATAAGTACATACAGATGAGGTTAATAAAAACATTAACCCCATAGGTTAATAGACAATGAGTTACAAGGAAAGGTGGAAAAAACATATTGCTACACTTGGAAATTAGTATAATTGCCTTAACTGTAGATCAAATTTGGCCTTGAGCTTCCAGGCAACCGGAACAGATAAGGAAACAAAAGGAAATATGACAAGCATGGATAGACCTTATCTTCAGCACTGTAACCCTTCTAAAATGAGTATATGACTATGACAGCCTCCTCCTGAAAATCAATCAATAAATATACTACAGTGAACTAAAATCCAACTCAATTTTTTTTATCAAAGCATAGTTGATATATATTATTTAAATTACAAGTGTACAATAGAGTGGTTCACAATTTTTGGAAGTTATACCCCATTTACAGTTATTATAAAATATTTTCTATATTCCCCATGCTGTACAATATATCCTTGCAGCTTATTTTATACCTAATAGTTTGTACATATTAATCCCTTACCCCTTTATTGCCCCTTCCCCATTTCCCTCTTCCCACTGGTAACCACTAGTTTGTTGTCTTTATCTGTGAGTCTGTTTCTTTTTTGTTATATTCACTAGTTTGCTGTATTTTTTGATTCCACATGTAAGTGATATCATACAGTATTTGTCTTTCTCTGACTTTATTTCATTTAGCATAATACCCTCCAAGTCCATTCATGTTTCTGCAAATGGCAAAATTGCATTCTTTTTTATGGCTGAGTAATATTCCATCTCTCTCTCTCACACACTCACACACACACTACATCTTCATCTGTTCATCTACTGATGGACCCTAAGGTTGCTTCCTTATCTTGGCCATTGTAAATAATGCTGCTATAAACATTGGGGTGCATGTATCTTTCCTAATCAGTTTTAAAATCCAACTCTTAAGTGAGGCACACAGGCCTTTATCTGTCCCCTGCTTTCCTTTCTACTTCCATCTCCTGCCCTCCCTTCCGTACCATGCCTGCAGCTCTCCAAGTCTGCCTTCCTCCCTGTCTCTGTGCCTTTGGCACATGCTGCTTTCTTTGACTAGGATGCCTCCCCATTCTCATTCATTGGTAAGACCCTGATCACTTTTCAAGTATCAGCTGCAGCATCACCTCTTCTGCAATGCCTTCTGTCTCCCTTTTCCCATGGCCACCTCCACCTCCACAACCCCCCTTCCAGACAGGATTACAGATCCCTTGCTACTCGCCACCCCTACACTCAGAACAAACCTCCATTACAGCCCTTGTCCACTTGGGCTAATGTCATCTGGGGACATGTCTAGCTCTTTCAGGGCAAGGACTGTCTTCTTACAATAAGTGCTCAGTAAATGTTTGTTGCTAGATTTTGAGAAAGGAAGAACACACTGACGCATCAGGAAACATAAGAGCTTTCCTGGGAGTAAATTCTAAAGGTAACAGACTCCAATAGAGGACAATGTTTTCTCCTAAACACCACATCTCTCAGCTGAGGACCTAGAGCAGAAGAGCAAATAATTCAAGGCTAGTATTCCATTGTGCTAAGGACGGATTCATGTGTTTTGGAAACCTGACAAGCAGGAAATACGGCGGATGCTCTAGTTGAGAAACCTCATCAACAGCCTTGCCTGGGAGGAACGCTACTACCTCACCTTCCTAGTTCCCAGTCCCATGCAGAGGCACAGAATAAGTAACTCAACTCTGGATGCTAGACCTCACTTTCAGCCCAACCAAGGTTTGTGTTGACCGATCACTGGATTCAGGTGGGACAGTAATGGCTTACTATAGATAAATTTAAAACTTTGTGATATACAGGCTGAAATTTGGCCTTTTAACATGTTAACCTTATTTTTTATTTACTATGGTGGCTAGAAGAATTTACTAAAAATCTTGGGTGAAACATTAAGATTCCATGAAGTGGATTTTAGAATTTTCATATAATAGTTATTATTAACTGCTGTTTATCAGTCAGTCTGCCTTATAGTTTAAAGGAGTTTGACAAGGCACCAAATGAAGTGTCACACTAGTGGAAGATAAATAACACATTTTAGGTTTTACAATGTTAAGAAACAATTTAGATGATGTAAAAGCTAGATAAAATTTCTGTAGAAAAAAATGTTTGCATTATGAAACAAAAGGCAGAAGAATAGAAATCAAATTGGTGGTTTAAATACTACAATCTTAAAGACTTTTAAGCAGTAGACTTGCCATCTTTTTAGAACTATCAAGATTCTTTCATAAAAGATAAGAATCTCAGGAGTTCCCTGGTGGTCCAGTGGTTAGGATTTGGCTGGGGAACACTGAGATCCCCCAAGCTGCGCTGCGCAGACAGAAAGGAAAAAAAAAAAGATCAGACTCTCGCTACCAAACTCAGCTGTCAAAATGATTGTAACTGAAGTCTTAATAGCTTGCTGTTTCCTTTAGAAACTCAGCCGGGTAATGCTCATGCCCATTTCTAATGTTCAAATGGGTGGCTTCAAAGGGAAAAAAACTTTAAAATCTTAATAGTTATAAAAATAAGTGGTCACAAAGAATGGTCTATGAAAGGTACCAATCAAAAATGGCATTAAGAGCTCCCCCTGTGAGAAGTACACCCAGACTGGGGTGATGGGCCACAGGAAGATTTTAGGTAAGAAAATTTGGGGGTTAGACGTGGTGGGGTGGAGAGATGCTTAACCAACCAACCAAAACTGGCCGGTAAGAGGTGTGAGGGCAGGTGTAGCAGCAGGTGTGTGAGCCTTGAGGAAGTGTCTAGACCACGCAGGCCCCAGGGCTTTGTTTATGATCACCAGGTGGGCTTGGGGAGCTCTAAGTTCTATCTCTGAGAGGCTCTACCCTGTAGAACAATGGTTCTCAGAACAAGGGTTCAGAACAACAGCATCAACATAACTAGGAAACTAGCTGGAAGGGTAAATTCTTGGGTCCACCCCACAGGCACTGAATCATAACTCTGGAAGTACGGCCCAGGAATCTGTGTTTCAATATCCCTCCAAGTGATTCTGATGCACACTCAGGTCGGAGAGCCACCGAACTATACCAGTGGTTCTCAACCAGGGTGATTTTGCATCCTTCCTCCCCCTGACCCTGGAAACATATGACCATGTCTGGAGACATTTTTAACTGTCACAACTGGGGAAGAAGAGGAGTGAAACTGTCATCTACTGGGTGGAGGCCAGAGATGCTGCTAAACATCTTACAATGTGCAGGACAACTCCCACAAGGAAAAATTCTCTAGCCCTAAACGTCAATAGTGCCGAGGATGAGAAAACTTGCTCTGGACCAGCAGAGCAGAGGTGAGGAACCAGCTCCCTCGTTCCCAGGCAAAGGCTAGAACTCTTTCTCTGTGGGTTTGGCCTTGTTTTGCTTAGGAAGGACTCAGCCATATTAAGATTACTGCAAGTTATCAGCCAAGCAATACCCAAACAAGTTTGGAGTAGATATCTTTCCTACCTTAAACTTGAATAACACGAAAAAAGAGCAATTTAATGGATAACCCAGAACCAAAATTTTAGTAAATATCCTTCATAAACGTTGGCTGAGTTGAACTGACTAGAAACAGCAGAGTTAAAGGAAGGTCAGATACAGTTTTCAAAAAAGAGAAACACATTGTAGAATTGGATTCCTAACAATTACCCTTTTAGGGCAAACTGGAGAAAAAAGTTGCCTGGTTGCTTTTAGAAACCATACAAACAAGGTGTCTTTCCCCACCCTATCTTAATTTACCACTGGCAAACAGACCTGGGCTCCTGGGAACTCTGATGCAATCTGGGCGATGATATGGAAAGTTTCCTTATCACTGAAGACGCGTTCAGCAGCTGCTCCCTTCCCCATGAAGTGAATGAAGGCTTCTTTTAGATCATTCCTCGAATGCAGCTCAGTGTGATCTTTCCCATTCCCAGGATTCAGGCCAAGTGCCTGCAAGAGCTTCACCCCTGACAGCACTACATCCACACATGCATTGACTCTGGAAGGAAGGAAGGAAGGAAGGAAGGAAGGAAGAGACAGCGTGAAAGAAACAAAAGCACTGGGGCAACTACTTTGCATTTAACAACAGGGAAATGTTTCAGAGGCCTGTATTCAAACAAAAAAACCAGATGAAGTGGATTTGAAACCTGAATTGGAAAGTAAATAGCATACGGCAGAAAGAGGATTACTTTATCTGGATGCATGTCTTAGGATCAGAACACAGGACTCTTGGCAAGAGTTTGGCAAACTTTTACACTAGTTACACAGAGAGAAGACAGGTGCTCAGCATTTCAGAACAAAGTATCGTTGATAACACAAATTTAGCATTTCTGAGAAAATGGTGGCAGAACCAAACTGTCTGGATTCACCCTGGCTGTGTGACGTGGGCAAGTCACTTTAATTTCTCTTTGTCTCAGTTTCCTCATCTATAAAATGGTGTAATATGAGTATTTAACTCAGAGCTGTTGCGAAGATTAAGTTAATAAATGCTTAGGAACACTGCTTGCTGCAGAGTAAGCAAAATAAAAGTTTTGGTCAAAATCCATCTTCCCCTGAAAGATATATTAGGATGGTGGTAAAATACACTAAATACCTAAATGTCTAAATACTCCCTGTTGAAATTCTTAGAGCTCAGTCGTGCCTTAAAGACTTAAGTGCACCTGCAGCCTGTAACAACTCATCACTTGGCAGGTGTTCACCGCACCCAGCCATGAACTTTAAAGGCTGGTAAAAAGCCAGTGCGACATCACTTGGTTGGTACTACAGAAATTATAAAGTACATATAAGGCTGTCTGGCATGGCCCCTCCTGTGTGTGCATGGAAAAGTTCTGGCTTACATTTTCAGTGTTTCTTTGCTAAAAGTCATCCCTTAAACGAGAAGTTCCAAACACTTTGGGTAGCTAAATGAGGTCTTCCTGCCCCACCACAGGCACCTTTATTCCTGCCTCTGCCATCCCTGCCAGTGGGGCTGGAAGACCAACTGAAACAGCTTCTGGTGACAAGGCTGTGCTTCCAGGTTAATTCCGAGTAGCTTTGAAACCAGAAGGTAAACTCATCAATAAAGAAGGTCCAATGGATTGGATTTTAGTGTATAACTACAGTGTTTCCCTTCCAGTCTCCTTTAAAAATCTCTTGATCAAATCATTAGTGGTGGCCAACTCTAAGATGCGGAATGAGATGGTGGTAAGGGAGAGGAGATATATATTTTTTTCATCAGATATATTTCTAATTTTTACAAGCATACATTACTTTTAGAACTTAATAACAATTTTTAAAAGGTTCTCATGTGGGCTAGATATTATTTACATCACTCAAGGAAGGTTTACAAGGGCAAGGAAGAAACACATCCCTCCTCACGACGCAAAACTGACTGCATACTCATCATAAAGATTCTTTTATTAATTCTTCCCCTATGAATCCCAAGTTTTTGAAAAGGTTTTTGCCTACCACACTGCATTTAAATACTCAAATGTTCTTATTCCTTTAAAGTCAAACAAACATATAATTACTCTCGTCAACTGGAAAAGCATAATCTAAAAGTGAGTATACTTTTCAGCACATAAAACACATTGACATGCATGTGGAAAGTTCTTAATGATACATTTAAAACATAATCCTTTCACAGCCTTACATAATAATGAACCAACACACCTTGTAAACTGGTCTCAATCCCACCTCACACGAAGTGTCCTTTATTTCTACTGGATGCAACATTAGATGTCTGAAGGGTAGAATCTTAACAGGAATACAGGCATCCCTGGCTCTCAGACTCCAGTAGGCTACCAATGTTCAGACAGTGAGAGTTTGGATAGCGCGAGACACCCATTCCCACCAAGCAGCCCTACCTAGAAAATGTATCCAAATGGATTTGGGGTCTGAGTCTGGACAGCAAAAGTTCAGATACTGAGGGATATACCCATATTTGGAAATAACGACTTCAAATCGACTTCAGTAAACACCACCTCCATATCTAGTTGTGCTGAGACTTTAGAGTTTGATTCTTTAAAGATGAGAATGGAGGACGCTGCACTTACAGAAAAATAAAACTGAACGGAACAATGTTCAGCACATTTTGAAGCCCAAGACAAAACCCAACTGAACAAATTTTGAGTTAAAACAATGTAACTATCATAGGAACATTTTCTATCCCCCACCTAATCATGTCATGAATACTAAAGGAAAAAAATCTTAGGAAAAAATTTACTTGGTAGCTTTTTAAAACAACAAAAAAAATAATTGAACATTACTATGTGCCAGATAGTAAACAAAGTACTTTTAGGTGTGCTTTCTAGTTATATTTTATAATACTTCAACCAGAACAAGAATCTTTCGCTGCACTTCAACAGCACACTAAAACGTAAACAAGCACATTACCTAAGGTGCTTTCTTATCGGGGAAAATTAAAGGGCGGGGGGGTGGGGGAGGTAAAAAAAACCAGAAGACAAAATTATGCTCATTTGACACTTAGGCAGAATTTCACAGCTCAATAAGAAATGTATAAAAGATTACAATGTGAGTTTTGAGAAAACAGACACAGATGAAACAACTGGAAGATAAAGTGAGGCAACAGATGCTGAATGCCTGAACAAGTGGCTGTGCTAGCAGAGAGGATGCTGGGAGCCAGGGCTGCCAGGCATATTATTAGAGACTTGGGGGTGGGGTGGGAATGAGGCACAGTTTCTTCTGGATCGTAAATTCCTTAAAGACAAGGATGGTGGTCCTTATCACCTCTCTTCTGTTTTACTGTCTGTCATTTCCTAAGGTTCTTTCTAGCTTTCACACTCTACCTGAGATATTATGAGAGCTAATCATAATCGCTGTAAGATACAGAACCGTAGAGAAGAGAAATTCAAGAGGCAGGAATAGTGGTTCTTGGGCCACACCTGGATGGTGCTCTGGACAGAGAAAGAAGGCAGGCATTTTCAGACAGACCACACCAATCCGCAAAACATTCTAAGATAGGGAAGAAGTCATCACTGCTTGCAGCTGAGAAAAGTAAGGCTGGGGGTCAACTAACATTCCAAAGGCCATGACTGGAGAAGCCTAAATTCAAACCCAGATTTATCTGATACTGAAACCCACAGGAAGCATACACAAGCAAAGATGCAGACAAAGGGATTAATCTTGTTTCTGGACACAAAAGGAATGCTGATCCAGTTAGGAGAGTTTCAACAGGGGAGAAGAGCTAGACAGGTTTCAAAGGTCAGGGGGAAGCCAGGTAAGACAGAATGAATGCTAGGATGAGGGGTTCATCATTCACCCAATGAACCTTAGGACCAGGGCCCGACTCTGAAGCAGGGGAGGGAGCACATGCTTTAGAAAGACGTGGCAGTGGGCTCACCATTGACCATCTTCTTGAAACCTCTCCTATCCTTTATTTCCCTGGTCCCTTCCCACCTGCCCCTTACATAGATGGCAGTGCCTCCCCGAATCCCACCCTTACCATTTACCTTCCCTTCTTTCTCTTCCTGGGTGATGTTGTCCAGTCTCTGGCCTCAGCCTAAGTGCTGGAGTCTCCAAGGTCTACAACCCTGCTCCTCAACTACAGCCTCTGGCTGTCAGCAGCTGAGGGCCCAGCTTCCTCTAAAATTCCACAGGAATGTACATTTCCCCTCCTCTGAAATCAAAATGCTTACCTTCCACCACAAACTTGTTCCTTTTTCTTAATCTCTTCGTGGCAACAACATGGCACGAATGTGGAGCCAGGAATGGGTTTAGGCTGCACCTCGGGCATTCGAGTTGTGTGATCTTGGGCAAATCAGTATTTCCAAGCCCCAGTTTACTCCCTGTGAAAGCTGGATGACAATCTCTGTATCTGCATGCATAAGGTTGTTGTAAGATCCCCAGTATTAAGATCCTGTCATTTTTGATGCCTCTATTTACTGTACAACACCCAACCTCTTCTCAAATCTCACCTGTTGAAAACCACTGCCAAACAAGAAAAAGCTCTATGGACTCTTAACTAGCGTCAGAGTCTCAAGACTTTCCTTTTTTATGAGTCATATTAAATTGTGTGCTTTGACTGAGTATGTGAAAGATAGTGAATATGTATGTGTGTGTGTGTGTGTGTGTGTGTATTCTCCTAAAAGATCAAACTACAACACACACGCACCTGCTAAATGAGATTCTGGTACCAGTACTGCACCCACCTACTCCCTGTACATTCCCATCTTTAGGCTGAAAATCTGGGTAAGGAGAAATGTTGGTAACAATGGATGTCTGTTACCCACAAAAATAGCGTGAAGCAGTCAAATAGGTTACAACCACAGCTCAAATTTCACATTCCACTGGTTAGTCTCTGCAAAGAACTTAGCATCATTTACCTGCTTATAAACCTTTATGGCTTTCCCATCACCTACCCTGATACAAAAGGCTCCTTTCAGCATCATTGCTTGACATCCCTCTACCCTCAGGTCCTTGCCCTAAATACAGGGCCAACTTGCTATTGACAGACAAGCCAAATACCTTTTCACATTTGGTCCTCTCTGCCTACGTGGGCTTATTCCCCCATCTTCTTGTGGAGAAATTCCATTTCTTCTCCAGGGCCTGGCCCTTGCAAGTCACTGTAGCAGAATATGTTTTCCAAGATGGCCACAAGATTTCCCATCCCACATGTTCTTTTTACAATGTGACACTCACATTCCCCCCATCCAGGTGTGTTCTATGTCCCCTCCCCTTAAAACCATTTGGACCTGAGACTATGACAGAAGCACCACTATGTGCTTCTAAGAGTAGGTCACAAAAAGGCATTAATGCTTCTGCCTGGTCCTCTTGGGGAATTCGCTCCCCTAACCCAGTCACCCTGCTGTGAAAAAGCTAAATAGAGAAACCACCTGTAGGTGTTCAGGTGAAACCACAGCTGAGGTTGTAGCCGACAACAACAATCAACCCTTGAGATGATCCCAGTCCCAGCCATCATCTGCCTGAAACCACACAAAACCCCAAATGAGAATTGCCTAGCCGAACCCAATCAAACCTCAGAATAATGAGAATAATGACCATTGTTTTAAGCTACTAAGTTTTGAGGTGATTTGTGATGTAGCAATAAGTAAATGGATTGTCACTTTCTCAGATGGAGCTTTTCCTGAAACCTCATCCGGGGAAGAATCAGTAATTCTTCTTTGGGACACAAGGCTACCTTGTTTCCACCACGAGTTCAGCAAAGCACTTTTCGTAATCATTACAAACAGCACTGTGTCACCTCACCGCCCCCCGCCCCCCATTCATATTGAAGCCCTAACCACAGATCGGACTGTATTTGGAGGTAGGAGCTATTTAAGGAGGTAACTGAGGTTAAACAAGGCCATTATCCAATAGGACTAGTGTCTGTTTAAAAAGAGGAAGAGACACCAGAAGTGCTCATGAATGAAGGAAAGGTCTAATGAGTACACAGCGAGAAGGCAGCCACCTGCAAGTCCTTAAGAGAGGACTCGCTCTTGGGCTATCAGCCTCTAGCACTGTGAGAAAATAAATGTCTGTTGTTTAAGCTACCCAGTCTGTGGTATCCTGTTATGGTAGCCCGAACAGAATAACACAATAATGAATATATCTGTTTCCAACAAACGAGGCTGGGACCTTGCCTCATTCATCCCTGTACCCTCAGAACCTAGCACAGACCTGACACATACCATGTAGTTGACAAATATTTGTTGAATGAATGCTCACAAAACTAGGGAGGACAATTAAGGAGCTGATAAGGATGCAGGTGAAAGGGCCTGAACTTGAAAGAAGAGGTAAAAGAGGATACATCTGAAGAAACAATATGCTGATATAAAACAAACAGTAGCTAACGTTAGGTGTCTGCTCGTTAAAGCAGACACTATGCTAAATAACATGGATTATTTAATTGAATCTTCAGGATAACTCTGCTTTACCTTAACCTTTCTGGTCCCAATACTCACAGGAACTAGTAGAGCAGTAGAAGGCCTGTTTTTGTGGTGAGGGCAAGATATTAAAGTCGAACTGAGACAAGAACTAAAATTCGTGTAAAGGGAATAATTACTTACACGCGGAGGGGAATACAAAGAAAGGAGGCACTGTGATTTGGGAGAACCCTAAATATGCAATGTCACTGAAATCAGGGGAAGAAAAGAGTTTCAAGGAGAAGGGTGTGTTTAACGCGTGGAAGGGTGCAAACAGTCGACAGAGAAGGCTAAAAGAAGCAGTTGAATGTGAAAGTCAACACGGTTCCGGTGAGCTTTGAGAGAGAAGTTTCAGTAGAATGGTGGTCTCCAGACTACGCCATTAAGGAAGCAGAAACAAGGCGTAAAGAAATAAACTCGGTAGCTAATGGCAGCTACCCCTCCTTCAAGTAGCTCAGAAGCAAGAGGGTGCCGCCAAAGTGCTAAGAACAACCATCGCTCACTGCCAAAGAGCAGCCGCCAGAGAAGGAGGGCTTGGAATGAAGGAGGCTCGAACTATAAGGAGTCAGGCTGAGCGGGATTTGCAAGAGGCTATTAGGCTGGTTCTATGGAGATGAGAGAAGGGGGCTGGTCCTACCGAGACGAGAAGGGCGCAGGGGCCAGCCGACAGGAAAAAGCAGTCTGGTGAATCCCTGCAGCAGCGACGAACGGGGCTCGTCCCAGACGTCCGACGCTTCTCGCCAAGGAGGCAGCGTGGACACCAGCGCCGAAGGGCCTCCCGGGGACCTCTGGGAACCCGTTTCCGCGCCAGCTCTACCTCCCAGCTCCCAAGCCGCCTGACCTCCGCCAAGGCGGCCCTCGGAGGCCCGGAGCGCCCGCACCTCCTGGAGAGGTCCAGAGAGTCAGGCTCCGCAGGCACTCACCCCACGGCCACGCGGCGCCAACGCCGGGCCGGCCGCACGATGAGCGCGTCCCAGGCAGCAGCCAACCGGCCCTCAGGGGAGCCGGGTCCTGGGGGCGCGGGCGCAGGCCCCAACTGCAACGAGCTCCACAGCGAGCGCAGGGCCGACCCCGGCAGCTGCGGCTCCAGCAGGAAGACGCAGCCCACCGCTAGCGCCAGGAAGCCGGCGTACGCGGAGCCGCGCCACAGCGCCATAGACACAGAAGTGTAGGAGCTGCGGAGCACAGCTTCTTTCCCGGCCCGCCCCTCTTCCGGGCTTAGCTCGTGCCGACGTCGACACGCGCGTCACGTCACGCCGGAGCGCCGCGGTCCCCCCGGAGGGGCGGGGAGAGGGGCGGGGCGATGGACGTGGGAGAGGGGCGGAAAGCCCTCTTCCTTTGTCCAAATCCTGGCTCTTGGGGGCGCTCGCGGTTCGGAGGCCCTGAGGGAGGTTGGACAAAGGCCATAGTGCCTGTCCGGGCGCTGTACCCCTTCCGGGAACTCCATCCGTACCCCGAAATAGAGCGGCACGGATACGTTTATTTTCCCAGTAAGATGAACCCGACGGATTTTGAAGAAGCGGGCAAACCTCATGTGAATCTTTGGGCCAGTCGGTGTCCTCATTTGAGCTGCGCCTGCAGTTCCTCAGAGGGGCACAAATCACACTCCCCCTGTTTTTTTGTGTTTTTTTTTTTTTGTGGTACGTGGGCCTCTCACTGTTGTGGCCTCTCCCGCTGCGGAGCACAGGCTCCGGACGCGCAGGCTCAGCCGCCACGGCCCACGGGCCCAGCCGCTACGCGGCACGCGGGATCCCCCTGGACCGGGGCACGAACCCATGTGCCCTGCATCGGCAGGCGGACTCTCAACCACTGCGCCACCAGGGAAGCCCCGTTTTTTTTTTTCCCCCTGTTTTAATGCCCCTCTGCCCGTCTGTCTATTCTCCACTGTTTTTTGTTTTTTTAAGTAGAGGGAAGGATTTTTTATTTATTTATTTTTGGCTGTGTTGGGTCTTCGTTTCGTGCGAGGGCTTTCTCTAGTTGCGGCAAGCGGGGGCCACTCTTCATCGCGGTGCGCAGGCCTTTCACTATCGCGGCCTCTCGTTGCGGAGCAAAGGCTTCAGACGCGCAGGCTCAGTAGTTGCGGCTCATGGGCCTAGTTGCTGCGCGGCATATGGGATCTTCCCAGACTAGGGCTCGAATCCGTGTACCTGCATTGGCAGGCATATTCTCAACCACTGCGCCACCAGGGAAACCCTCCATCCTCCACTGTTAACTAAGCTCATCCTCTTTCAGGCCCGGGGCTAGGCGCTCCCCCGAGGAATCAGATGGCAGCAGTGCTGCTGTGAGCCCTTGGGGCACGCGTGGCAAGAGGGATTCTATCCCTTTGGAGCGTGGCGGAGACCCGCAGCTGCTCGGGGCATTTGCCGAGTCTGGGAGAGCCCGCAGTGATTGTCCTTGCTGGATGATCAGATTCAAACCTTAAAATAACCCTTTTGGGGGCGCTGTTCCCTTTAACAACCTCAGAAAATGCACACATTCTTGTGTACCACATAGGGGGTTTTGGACCTGGGTTAAGAAACCCTCATTTCTCCTCTTCTCCCTTGGTAATATGACTTAAACCCAGCAGGCCTTGTCTTCATTGTGACTCTTTTGTGTGTGCACCTAGGTCGAGAGCCAGTGAAACTAGGCTTGCTGCCCACTCATTCTCAGCGCCATCATGCTGGGTCTGGTCTTGTTCCTGGCCAGTTTCCGTTTTTCCAGATCTGCTGGCTCCTGACTTTGGCTCTGTGTCTGATTTTCCACACTGCCCCTGACCTTTGGACTTGGCAGTGGATCTTATTTCTCTAGCTTTGATCTTGGGCATTAGGCTTCATTTTCCCCAGCCCCGTATCGCCAGCACTTCCCTATCCTGGTCATCTATCCTCTCCGGCTCACCCCACCCAACCCACCCGACCATAGCATCGCTTTCAAAGGAGATGTTCACACAGGAAGAGATTTGGGCTACCACGGAAAAGAAAAAAAGCCAAGGAGCCAGTGAGATCTGTGTGAAGCTGTCTTCACTAGAGTTGCCTATCTCTTCTCTCTCCTCAGGGAGACGTGTCATTTAGTTCCCAGAGAAACTGCTCCCCCAGATGACCCCCAGTGAGCAGGTTTTCCTACCACCCCAGAAGTGACTGAACCAGTACTTATCTCAAAAGCAATGAATTCACTGGCTGGCCAGAGACCATTTCTCTCTACTGAGAATTTGAACCAAGAGTCTGTAGCTAGTTGGTTTTGGTTGTGGACCTGCAAGATCACATAAGGTTGAAGGTCAGATAGGGCCAGTTAAATATATTTCCAAGGTGAAGATTTGGGGGAGCAGCGGAAGCTGAATTGTGGGAAGACCATGGAGCAGACAGGCTTAGAGGAGCAGGGAAGTGCTCCACGCCAAGTGATGTGGAGAGAAAGCCACTTGGGGCCTTCCCTTCTGGCTCCCAGCACACCTGCTGAA